GTTTCAGCTGCTCTTTAAGAGCAGCATTTTCACTCTAAAGTAAAAATTTAAAAAGGTCAAAATCCTCCACCTTCCCACCCAAAAACTCAGAATTTTGGATCCACTAAAAATCTGCTTAAGAGATTTAACAAAGTGCTTATGGAAGATTCGACGTGTTATTTATGGAAATCCCAATGTTGCCTTTTCCAACATGCTAAACTACCTCGTTGCGAATCAACTCGTCTTTTTGTGGACCATCGAGGTATTTACTTTTTGCGCGTTAGCGTTAATTTTCAATAAGGTAGTTCTTCAAATCATGGCTATGGTAATGGAAGTACTGCCAGTAAGTCGAAACGCTTTACATCGTAGCTGTACTGCTTATCAAACAACCTTGTCAAAAAATTGACTTTGATCCCCTGTTACTCTGCAGTATCTCCATAACAGCAGCCTGTATGCGAAATAAGTATGATCGCGTTCTCAAGTCAAATAATCCCCTCTGACTACTTTTCCGAATTCGTGGTTTTATCCCCTATCAAACCACTTACATAAAGGTCGTACCATAAGATATTAAATTCATAATAAGTTATGTAACAGCACCGAATTCCGCACCTCACAAGTACTGGACGTACACCGTTCGGACAGATAAGTAACACTGATTTGGTCTAACGTTCTCTTACTTTATCTTCATGATAAGACGCAACCGCGCGGAACAAATACCATAGTGGTCACCACTCAAACATCCCCTTCCCCCCAACACGAAAATCCCGATTTCGCTGGAATTTGAATGGAGGACAGGTGAGTGTCCGAAATTTGAATAAGGACAAGTGTACCAGCAACAATGGAATAATGTTCAAATAAACGAAAACACTTGCAAGTAAGGTCTTTTTATCATTCTGGAAAGCAGCCTCCTTTCTCGAATTTTCTCTTGTAAGCGTAGCTATCGCCGACTTTAAATCTTTCAACGTATCCTGCAAAATAAGTACAGTCCAAAAAACGTTTGATACCAAAATGTGCAAGGGATACCTCACTAGAAGACGAAGAAGTGCCCTGATCATCATTTTCTTGGGATGAAAGCGAATCTAAAGCCTTTTGTAAAGCATTTTTTTCAGCATCCAAGCTTTTGTATGCTCTCACAACATCTAAAATATACAAATTCACAGGTAAAAGGAGGAGCATGAAAAATGAAAAACTAAGACAAGGAGAAAGCTCAATGACCTTTGAGCTTTTTTTCGTAGAGTTTGATTTGCTCATGCTGATTTTCTAGAGTCTTTTGTAGATCTCGAACATTCATGGGTAGACCAAACGTCCCGTTTTAGGTTCTACCTAAAAGAAGTGCAACAAATCGAACTTGACGGTTGACAACGCAGGAACGTGGAAGAAATACAAGAGAGTACAAGATAATTGGTTTGATGGAATTTGTAAAAGCTTCCATATTCTTATGGACACGTGTTAGAAAACACCATCTACGCTTATTAACACAATGATCGATTTTCATGTGCATTTGAGGTGTGTAAAATTAGCTTTCAAACTCCCTCGCTACCCTGCGTCGCTCTGGGACCAGGCCGAAGATAGGGGCCATTCGGGTTGCTGTTGGTGTTGTGGATGCTAGGTCAATCTTAAAGTGCTTCAGAAGTTAGGGGGAGCTGTGAAATGCGAAGATCTGTGCTTCATTGTTACAATTGGCTGCACTTAGTACTTGCAGTACGCGTTAAGATATTGCGTGCGACACTCGGAGAATCGCACTAGTTGAGCAATTCCTTCAATGTATGGTCGACTGCGAATTTCTAACACAACAGAAACGCGGGTGGACTCGCAAGCGGCGTCTATGCCTCCTCTGGCCGTGCGAAATTTGAAGATCAGTTTCTCAGGTTTTTCTTATTCTTTTCTTTCCATCTCAAGGTATCAGGGAACCATCCAGCAGGTATTTGGTTG